AAAAACAGTCCATTTTTACTCTTAGAGAAAGCTGTAGTAAAAATGTTAGACCGATATCTCATGTGACTTTTTGCGTAGGCGTGCGCAGAAATTTTCGTCAAATCTGAGATATTTTTCTTCAATAACTTTGCACATGTGGCATATATTTAGATCAAAGTTGTCAATTAATTGTAGGTTGTAAAGATCTATCAGTGTACCAAGTTTGAAAAAAATTCTATACAAGTTAAGTATGTTTTTCTATCAAATAAAGTTTCCGTACTTTTGGTGCAAAGAAAAAAAAAGGAAGAATCTCAATCAAAACTTTGTGAATCCAATTTAAAACGACCACCGTGGTAAGTCTAACGATTTACAATTCTAAAATTAGAGGTTCGATTCCCCTCGGTGGACACAGCAGATAGCCCTCATGTAGCTTCACGCGAAATTCATAACAAACTTTGTGAATCCAATTTAAAACGACCACCGTGGTAAGTCTAACGATTTACAATTCTAAAATTAGAGGTTCGATTCACCTCGGTGGACACAGCAGATAGCCCGATATGACTTTGCTATGAAAATCACACACACACCAATTTAAAACACTGTTGTCTTTACAACAATCTTCTCCTAGTGTTGGTTAAAAGAGAGGTATTTAAAACATTATAGCCTTTATAGCAATCTTCTCCCAGTGTTTGATTTAGAGACAGATATCCAGTAAAATGTATCTAAGCAAAAACACCTTAGGTGTGGAAAAAAGGTGCGGCTAAACTGATAACTACACTTATAGCATTGATAAGAATTGTAAAGTAAATATTCATTCATTAGTTAGCTAGGCCAGCTAATGAGTATAGCTAACCATATATACTTTCCTTAAATTCTCACTTATTAAAATTATGATGCATTGTTTCATCAGCTGGGTATCCTGGCCATTAATGATATTATCGGTTTTAAATGTTTGACTTGATTTGCCTAGAACTTGTCGAAGGACGAAATGTTCCATGTACTACTTTATATTGTAGAACTTTATAAACTAAACAGTTGAGAAATCAACTCTGCTTTCGAGAAGCCTAGAACGTTGTATAATAAATATTCAGCACTAAAATACAAGCTGTGATTTTTAAATAAGCTATTTGTTATAATTTCTAACTTCTGTCTTTTTTTATTGTAAATGATCAGTATAAACACTCATAATAAGGATTATCCATAAATCATTTTTGTAACATCAAAGATTATCCATAAGGTAGCGCCGTAACATTAAAGATTAACCATAATGTATTCATGTAATATTAAGAATTAACCAGAACGTAACAATGTATTATTATTGATTAATCATAAGGCAGCGTTTCCCAAAGTGTGTGGCACTCCTTATAATGTTCTTATATTAGTGAAAATAAAAAGTAATTACTGCAACACATATATAGTATTTCGATGCGTTTCCATGTGTTACATCTCGTCACTTAACTCACTCTTTCACTCATTCAAAAAAAAAAAAGGGAGCGCAAGAAAGCATATTTATTAAAGGAAGACGTAGATGACAAAAGCTTGGGAAACCATAAGGTATCAATATAAAATTCAAGATTATTCATAATTTAGCAATGTCATGTTAAGTATTAGTCATAAGTTGGCACTGTACTATTGAGTCTATCCATGATATCAAGGATTATCTATGACGTTATACTGTAACATTAAGGATAGTGTTGTAACATTAAGAATTGACCAAAAGGTAACAATGTAACATTAAGTATTAACCAGAACGTAACACTTTAACATCAATAATTAACCAGAACGTAACAATGTAACACTAAGAATTATTCACAATGTAATGCATTTATAGAAAAGTTTGCTCAAAAGTTAGTATTTTAATAACTAGTATTGTGCAAAAGGGTGGATTTGATTATAAAATATTATCTATAGAAAGTATTTTAACAATTAGGATTATCCAGAATAAAGGGCTTCCAACAGAGATTTAATTAGAATATGAGGTTGGCATCAGAAAGTAATACCAAAAACTGTTTTAATTGTAAATAATTCGTCAATATATAAACTGGTCTCGTTACAGGAAGAATTACAAAAATCAACTGGGGAAGATAAGGACGTAGTGACAGTATGGGAAGATATTTATGTGAATCACACGAAGATCTTTCGTTCCACACTGCAGAATGGCCAGGAAATGGGCTCCTTGAAGAAAACTCAGCTAAGAGTAGCAGTACTGCATGTGAGCGTACAAATAACATTTTATTTAATTAACTTCACCAATGGATCGGTTAAGTAAGAACATGGAAAACACGAGGTTTCTGTAGCAGCATTATGATGGACTGTCAGAACATGAAAAACGGGGATTTTGTGCTAGCATTGGGATAGGCTATGTCAGAACATTGAAAACAGGGATTCTGTGCTAACATTGAGATGGGCTACGTCATAACATGAAAAACACGGGATTCTGTGCTAACATTGAGATGGGCTATGTCAGAACATGGAAAACTGGGATTATTTACTGACATTGGGTTCGGCTACGTCATAACATGAAAAACACGGGATTCTGTGCTAACATTGAGATGGGCTATGCCAGAACATGGAAAACACTGGATCCTGTGCTAACATTGGAATGGGCTGTGTTAGAACATTGAAAACATAGGATTCTGTGCCAACATTGGAATGGGCTATGTCAGAACATGGAAATTTATTTTAATTTTAATAACAACCCATTTCGAAGCCTACATAAACCCACAGGGACATTATTAATATAAATAAGTGTAAACTGTTGATTTCAGGAAGTCTCATCATTGATTTAATAAATAACATAGAAACAACAATATTGTTACGTATCTGGTCGTTTGTTAATTTCCGGTATAAATTGTTTTCGAGG